CATACATACATACATACATACATACACACATACATACATACATACATTACATACATACATACATTACATACATACATACATACATGCATACGTACATACATACATACATACATACATACATACATTACAACATACATACATACATACATACATACATACATACATACATACATACATACATACATACATACATACATACATACATACATACATACATACATACATACATACATACATACATACATACATACATACATACATAACAAACATACATACATACATACATACATACATACATACATACATACATACATACATACATACATACATACATACATACATACATACATACATACATACATACATTCATTACATTACATACATACATACATACATACATACATACATACATACATACATACATACATACATACATACATTCATTACATACATACATACATACATACATACATACATACATACATACATACATACATACATACATACATACATACATACATTACATACATGACATACATACATACATACATACATACATACATACATACATACATACATACATACATACATACATACATACATACATACATACATACATACATACATACATACATACATTACATACATACATACATACATACAGACATACATACATACATACATACATACATACATACATACATACACACATACAGACATACATACATACATACATACATACATACATACATACATACATACATACATACATACATACATACATACATACATACATACATACATACATACATACATACATACATACATACATACATACATTAACATACATACATACATACATACATACATACATACATACATACATACATACATACATACATACATACATACATACATACATACATACATACATACATACATACATACATACATACATACATACATACATACATACATACATACATAACAATACATACATACATACATACATACATACATACATACATACATACATACATACATACATACATACATACATACATACATACATACATACATACATACATACATTAATTACATTACATTACAATACATTACATTACATTACATTACAATTACATTACATTACATTACATTACATTACATACATACATACATACATACATTACATACATACATACATACATACATTACATACATACATACATACATACATACATACATACATACATACATACATACATTACATACATACATACATACATACATACATACATACATTACATACATACATACAGTACATTACATACATACATACATACATACATACATACATACATACATTACATACATACATACATACATACATACATACATACATACATACATACATACATACATACATACATATCATACATACATACATACATACATACATACATACATACATACATACATACATACATTACATACATACATACATACATACATACATACATACATACAGACATACATACATTACATACATACATACATACATACATACATACATACATACATACATACATTACATACATACATACATACATACATACATACATACATACATACATTACATACATTACATACATACATACATACATACATACATACATACATACATACATTACATACATACATTACATACATACATACATACATACATACATACATACATACATACATACATACATACATACATACATACATACATACATACATACATACATACATACATAATACATACATTACATACATACATACATACATACATACATACATACATACATACATACATACATACATACATACTTACATTACATACATACATACATACATACATACATACATACATACATACATACATACATACATACATACATACATACATACATACATACATACATACATACATACATACATACATACATACATACATACATACATACATACATACATACATACATACATACATACATACATACATACATACATACATACATACATACATACATACATACATACATACATACATACATACATACATACATACATACATACATACATACATACATACATACATACATACATACATACATACATACATACATACATACATACATACATACATACATACATACATACATACATACATACATACATACATACATACATACATACATACATACATACATACATACATACATACATACATACATACATACATACATACATACATACATACATACATACATACATACATACACACATACATACATACATACATACATACATACATACATACATACATACATACATACATACATACATACATACATACATACATACATACATACATACATACATACATACATACATACATACATACATACATACATACATACATACATACATACATACATACATACATACATACATACATACATACATTACATACATACATACATACATACATACATACATACATACATACATACAGACATACTCACACAAACACAGACACACACAAAAACACACACAAACACACACACACACAAACACACACACACAAACACACACACACACAAAACAAGCACAAACACAAACACAAACACAAACACAAGCACAGGCACAAGCACAAGCACAAGGACAAGCACAAGCACAAGCACAAGCACACGCACAAGCACAAACACAACCACAAACACAAACACAAGGGCAAGCGCAAGCGCAAGCGCAAGCGCAAGCGCAAGCACAAGCACAAGCACAAGCACAAGCACAAACACACACACACACACAAATTTCACGCGCCGTGCATGCTAGAAGCTCAGCTTCTCTTGCACCTGGCTGCTGTCTCCGCCGCTGTCCGCACGACCCCAGGTCACAACAGCTCCAGTTTCGAGAATGGCTGCAAAAGCAAATCTACTTGCTTGGATTGTCTGGACGTTGATCAGCTGCTCTTGCACCTGGCTGCTGTCTCCGCCGCTGTCCGCACGACCCCAGGTCACAACAGCTCCAGTTTCGAGAATGGCTGCAGAAGCAAATCTACTTGCTTGGATTGTCTGGACGTTGATCAGCTGCTCTTGCACCTGGCTGCTGTCTCCACCACAGTCCGCACGACCCCAGGTCACAACAGCCCCAGATTCAAGAACGGCAGCGAAAGCTGTCTCATTTGCTTGGATGTGCTGGACGTTCCTAAGCTGCTCTTGCACCTGGCTGCTATCTCCGCCTTCTGATGGACCACCCCAGGTCACAACAGCCCCAGATTCAAGAACGGCAGCGAAAGCTGTCTCATTTGCTTGGATGTGCTGGACGTTCCTAAGCTGCTCTTGCACCTGGCTGCTATCTCCGCCTTCTGATGGAACACCCCAGGTCACTACAGCTCCGGATTCAAGAATGGCAGCAAAAGCTCTGCCAGTAGCTTGGATGTGTTGCACGTTCGCCAGCTGCTCTTGAACCCGGCTGCTGTCTCCGCCGCATCGTGGATTACCCCAGGTCACAACAGCCCCACATTCAAGGATGGCAGCAAAAGCAAAGTTGGTTGCTTGGATGTGCTGGACGTTCCTCAGCTGCTCTTGCACAAGGCTGCTGTCTCCTCCGTATTCAGGATGACCCCAGGTCACAACAGCCCCAGATTCAAGAATGGCAGCAAAAGCACCCGCACGAGTTGCTTGGATGCGCTGGACATTTCTCAGCTGATCGTGCACCTGGCTGCTGCGCCCGCCACGTTGTGGATCACCCCAGGTCACAACTGCCCCAGTTTCAAGAATGGCAGCAAAAGCAGAAAGAGTCGCTTGGATGTGCTGGACGTTAATCAGCCGCTTTTGCACCTGGCTGCTGTGTCCGCCGTATTCAGGTTGACCCCAGGTCACAACAGCCCCAGATTCAAGAATGGCAGCAAAAGCACCGTCAGTTGCTTGGATGTGTCGGACGTTCCTGAGCTGCTCTTGCACCTGGCTGCTGTCTCCGCCACGTTGTGGATCACCCCGGGTCAAAAGCTCGCCCCTATTGCCATAAAAAGCGAATGCGTTTTTAGTGGCAGCCAGTTTGCCAAGCTGCACAACTGCAGTCACGACGTCCCCACCTTGCAACCCGGCCTCATCCAGCGTGGCGGTCAAATCAAGCTGCCGGCCTTCCGCAATGAGCTTCAAGCGGTGCTGGAAATGCTGCTGCGCTGCAGCCTTGAGCTCGCTGATGAGCGTCGATGGTGAGACTTCAACGGAGCAGCCATCTCCACTGGGCAAGTGAACATTCACCTTCATGGCTCAGGAAGGTTGTCTGAGTGTACTAAAGCATATGAAGTGGGGTGGCCCTTTGATGAACGCTTTTTGAAAGCACATTCCGACCCCCCCCCCATTTGTGAGGGTTACAATCCTTGAGCACACCATTGTGTGAATGAGACCTCAATACATGGTCTTTGCGGCGGATATGAGCCAGAGCCCGCGAAAGCACGTTTGACCATGCCCCGTCAATGCCCTAGGTATCCTATTCTTTATTGTGCCTTGGGAAAGTTGCACGGAACAAGACAAGTCCAGTCAAGCCAGCCTGCTTTTCTGCACCAGCCGAACCAAGTCAAAACAACTACAGCTGAATCCGGCCCCTAGTTGTCGCGTGGCCATCGTATCAATTCTGAACTGAATGACAAAACACACAAATAGGGGCACACTAAGTCACTAAGCACAGGGATCTTTCCCCAGGTTCTGCCGCATGCTGCCGAGGAAAAGGCCAGGTAATTCCCCGACCTGAACCTGACTAAAGCCACCGCTGCCTTGATGGTTTTCGCCGGTGTGGCCCCTTGGGCGAAAGTCCTTGCAACCCAATTGCAGGGGATCGGTCCAAACTCCCAGTTTTTTGACCCTCACAGTTTGACACAAAACTGGCACGGTCCAATGCTGGTCGAACCAAAACCGGACACGGAACGATGGCTCGCTGGGGCCGCCCGCTGAAGCCCATGCAGGTACACCCGGTCCACCTGAGATCGGAAACGCGGCTTTGGCAGATCCATCCAGCTGTTTGGCTGTCGGCTTGGACCGAATTGCTACTGGCGAGTTGACTTGCGGGTTTAGAAACAGTTGTCTATGGTTTCCTTTCAGGGAACCCAAGGTTCATTCCCAAAACCCTGGGTCATTCCCTACTGAGCATCAGCAAGCTGATTGTTGAAGATGGTCCATAAACCTCTGTCTGATCCAAGGAGATCCGCTTTCATGTATGTCTTTTTGGGCCCCACTATCCCACTCGCACGATTCCGCAATACCCTGCTGGCATCAACATAACATTTTGAAATGCTGGAGTACGCGATGAAATACTGGATGTTAGGCGCAGGACAATCAAACACGTCAAGGCACCCCCCCCGAAAACACCCTTGTTGTTAAACAACATCCAAGGGACCAAACTTGTGAAGCTTGCGGACGGGACCCCCAAACATGGTGTCTTTTTGGTTTCCCTTGACACTTTAAAGTGTGATGGAAAAACGGGTACCCTCAAAAACACACACCAACTCAAGCCAACACAAGGACCTCTCCTCGGGTTCTGTCCCTGCATCCAGTTCACTAAGAGTCCACGCCGCCGGAAAAGGGTGGAGGTTGCATCTTCCGTGGTAGGTGACCCTTTGGAAAAATGGGGCACCAAACCAATGTAAACCAGTGAAAGTCATCGATTTCTGACCAAAGTAACCGAAAGGACGCCTATGCTGTTTTTTCTTCCTCACCCAGCTCCGAAAGTGGCAGTCAATTTTCCTTGAGAGTTCCAACCACAGACCCTCGTCCAAAAGGCCATCCCAGTCTGAAACTCTGCTCTCCACAAAAAAGAGTGGCTAATTCTTTGCAAACAATACAGTGCAATGGGAGAGCAAATCATTTTTGGTAAATATTCCAGATCCCAAACAACTCCAAATCCCATGGGTAACTTTGGGATTTCCACCTGCAACGCAAGCCCAGAAGCATCCGATCCGCGCCCATGTCGGGCTGTGGGAAGCCCTCTTACATTGGCCGTTGCGGTGCTTCCTTACATTCCCCCACTCGAACCAAAAAACCCGGGGTGAATGTAGATGGTGCCATTTCCATATTTTGCCGGTCAAAAATCGGAAAACTCAAAAACGGGACCTTGGTAAATGGACACATAGACAAAAACCGGGCCCCTGGTGGTTTATATCATTTTGACCGCGTAAAGAGGATGACTAAACAAGGGGGGAATTGATCGCGCCATCTTCCACCCAGCTGTATGAGTTGTCTCGAAAGAAAGGAAGCCTCCAAACAGGTGGTTCCTTGTGGTTCCCTCGTAAGCCAACCCCAGAAAGGGTACCAAGCCTCCAACCAATATGGGCCATCACTTGGATGCCCAGCCGTAACTCTGCACCGGCTGCATTGGGAAGAAGCTGCGCAAGAACTGCTCCGACCTAGGTGGCAGAAAATGAGGCACACCAAATTTGGTTGACGTTCAAAGACAAGCCAAAGGAAATCCATTGCCCATGGTTTGGGGCCTTTCTAGTTTTGGGCTACAAACCCAAAAGCAAAGATCCGGATTCGTGGTGATGTCCTTTGCTCCAACGCAGTGCAAATGGGTATGTCAAAATAGGGATCTCCCGAATGGTGGCTTTCCTGTCGAATTCCCTTTAAACCACCCTCAAAAGGTAGCCGCAAAAGCACATACCAAATACACTAATTTCGGTTGCCCAGCCTGTTTCCCTCGTCACCGAAAGGGCCGACGGGTCGCTTTTTGGACACACCTGCGATGCCTGTTAAACCTATGTTGGACATTGGAGACAGCAAATACGATGCTACAGAGCTCACCCTTCAGATGCTGTTCACAGAGCTTAATTACTTGCCCAGCAGCATGAGAATGGACGGCCTCCGCTTGTTTGGATGATAGGGACGACCGCCCGGGAACAAAGGAACAAGAACGGAGGCCACTGCGCAACTGGGAGAAGGTTCCGCCGAATCTGCGCACTTGCCAGGTTTTGCCTGGTTTGCCTTGGCCGAGGTGCAAAGAGACAACATGCCACCAGCGATCCCATGCGAAAAGCAAAGGACCGCGTCCGCTTTCCCATCTAGCTTCTCCCATTTAGTGGTTGAAGATCATCTTTTTAGTGGTTGTCCCCAATGGTCATCCCATGAGGACCTTTGCCCAAGCCCCCGACTTGATGGAGCATTTCACTGGGCAGTCGCGGAGCTTTTGTGACCTCCCAGAGCTGGGGAATGGGGCCCAGGGGGCCTGGGAACTGATAGTTTTGCAAAGTTCATGGATGTGCTTTTGAGCCTTTGAGGCATGCACACATGCAGCCAGGCTCTGCTCTTGGCATGTATTCTGACATGCTGATGCTTGTGCTGCGCGCCATTCGAAAGAATACACATGCAAGTGGAAGTGTGCACCGTCCAGTCTGCATTATTTTCTTGGTGCAACACAACGCAATCAGTACTCGCACATAAATATATATATATATATGTACTGGGGTCATCAGTGTCAAGCCTGTTTCAGGAAACAACCGGCTTCAAATTTCTCACACACTTCGAAACGTCTTGGTAAGTGGGAAACCTACTGTGCATGTCAAGTCCTTAGGCCCAACAAGTTGGAGTGCTGAACCCAAGGTTGACTGACGCTGTAGCTGAACAGCGTCTCTACACCCAAGGTGGTTGTGACTATGAAGAAGTGTGGGCCTTGTGCTAGTATGAGGGAGCCTCCTTGTCCATCTGCTCGAGCAACCAGGAATACAGGATGAAGTCTTGGCAACGGACCAGGCTGCGAGTGGCTGGAAGCTGTGGCATGTTTGAGCCATGGTATGTAGAGACGATAAATTCCCCTGCAAGTGTCGGTTCATCGTCTACTGCACAAGCCAAGCAGCTTCGGGAACTCTTGAAAAGCGCAAAACAAACGCAGCCCCACTGGTTATCCATGTTTTTGAGGAAACCTAAGATCCAAACAACTGATGCACCCTCCGCCTACATTTGAACCGCACCTGTTCCCATTTTGAGCCCTTCCCAAGCCAATCATGGTTTGCACATGTGTGATATTGTGTGATGTGAATATGGAATGTCTGCATTGTTCTAGGCAGTAACAAGTAATCTCTAGAAACACAGATTACTCCCATTGGAGTGTGTCGCATCTTGCGTTGGAGCACCGCTTTGCAACACACTGACTGAACATCGGACAACATCCCGCTACACAACTTCCGGCATAGTGGTCTGGTGTTGGGGGGTGCCAACCCCACCATGGGAGGTGACATCAATAGAAAAAAAGAAAAAAAAACAGGCGCAAAATGGGCTCACCCCCCCCCCATTCTCCAAAGTTATGTCGAACGCGGGTTTCCGGCTAAAAGGGATAGATCAGATACGGCGCCATGGCTTCCCTGGCCTCAGCCACAAAGCCGCGTCTTGTGCAGCGCTGTCATCTTCAAAAGTGACAAAGGCCTGGGCGAAGGGCTTCGGGAATTACCTTGTTGGTGTTACTGTTTGCTTCAAGGTCTTGTTTGTTCTGGTGGGAAAACACACATAAACATGCTGAAACACATCACCCTTCTTTGCCGTTCAACTTCACAATGTACTGGTGTTGAAAGCGGATAGGTGCAAAAGGTGGCCATTCACCGAGAGTGGTCTAATCAAAACAGGTTGCGCAGGTCTCAGGTTCACTGGAAAAAGTTGCTGGCACCCAGTTGACTTCGCACCAGCGATGGCAAAGGGGAGGCGGACAATGGAAACCGACACCACTCGCACTCGCAGTGAAGATAAGGTTGTGTGGGAGCAAAGGTCCACGCAGGCGATGCGCGGAACTAGTCGCACAATTCAAGCCGGAGTGCACTCCAGAAATGAGCAAACCGGGGCGCTTAAATACGAGGCTGTGAGAAATCCCGGGGGGGGGTCTAAAACTGGGGACATCCCTTTTGAACAGTGTACACAGGGAACGCAGAGCAACCAATCAAGTCAAAAATACATATCATCGCCTTGTTGTGGTTTGCGGAGGCCTTCGCTTGCGTCGTGACCCGGGACCCCTCTTCAACATCAGGGTCCTACTAGAATCCTGTTGAGGACGGTCACTCCTTAGCAAGGCGATCTGACTAGTGCCCGTTGCCCCCATTGCTCAAAGTCCTCAAGTGAGTCATGAGTCATACTCAAAACCCGGTACTAAACTGGTCCGGTCTACCCAGAATGTAAAGCAAAAAGGCGGCCTCAGCCTGGAAAACGCCGTCCCTGAATTCCTAAACCCGGTGAACTCCACTCGCGCGCAACTCACATGGGCTGTCCTCAGATCTGCTAAAAGTTTGACTTGTGGGTTCAATGAGAGCCCCCACTAAACCAAAAGCTTAGGATCAGGGGCCCCGGCGGTGCTGTTCACATCGGGCTTGATGGTCTTCAACTTCTCCCCTGCGGGGCAGCGATCGAAGAGCTCGTGCAGCTCCTGAGGAGAAAGCGGAGATTTGCCGCAAGCCGTGCGCGTGTATTCTGTTGAGGGTACCCCTTTGGGGTGGATTCGGGGGGAAACCAAAGTTGTGTGCGTGTGCGTGTGCCCACTTCTTGGAGGGTACTCTTTTCACCTTGGCTAAAGAGGAAGTAAAAGACAAAATCACAAATTGTGGGGGTCCCCTTGGACACATATCTGGACCCCGGGCAGCTGGCTCAACCATTCTGGGTCTACATAATTTCGCTGATTCCAACGTCTTATCCGCGCACCTCTGGAACCGATCTTCGGGGTGCTGAGCTCCCCTTTTTGACTTTGGTCCAGCATGTATGCTGTCAGGTCTTTGATTGAGCATGAGCCACATACTTTGGGGCAGGGCCTAGCTCGAAGAACTCAAAGGATCTTTGCTCACACAGCCAAAGACTCAGCAAGGTTTGGAAAGGGAACCACCCATAACCACCCTTTAGGCTGGCTGCAGGGTCAGCCCTGCGTCAACCAAGTCAAGATCCGAAAGACTCTCCCATCCCCAACCCCCAAGCGTGGTCTTCAAAGTGATTCAGGATGTGCGATGTCAAAAGATCGCTCAACGCCAAAACGTCGCCTTCACGTGCGGCCGCAGGCTGCGTGGCAAACTGGCACCGCTCTTTTCTTCCCGGCCAGGGCTGTACAAGCGCCGCGCCTCCGGCTTGGCAACTCAGTGTCCACTGACAGCAACATTTTACGTGGTGACCTTTGTGGGAAGCGGGTTTAATTCATTGGGCAAAGGGAAACCGCCAATTTGAGCGGTCCCCAATCCTTTTCGCACCTGCCTGCCTAAGACTTGTCGCAGGACACTGCTTTGCCCGCAGCGGAGGTCGATCAAAATTGTCCACTGCGCGTATCTTCCGTCAGAAGTCCGTGTCTAGGTATATGTCAAAGGGACTTGGACAATGGGTTTCGGCGTTTTTTTGTGCAATCTCTTTTTGCATCAAGCTGATAAGAGGGCACGGAGCCTCACAGAAAAACATATTGTGGAATCCGCACATCAGGCATTGGGAATACTTCCTGGGAGGGTGCTGCTCAAGACAGGACTTCTGCAAGCAAATGCCCTGTGAGACGTCTGAGGCGCACATCTATGATGCTAGCTCCATCTTCACCAAGCGCAACGCCTGCCATGCGACGAAGAAACAGGAAACTCGCGCTGTCCGGCTGTGCGTTGCTTTCAACTGAATTCTAGCAGCTTTTCGGTGAACGCCGCACTGCACACGTTCACATGCGGTCTTACTTGCGGAGTTACTTGCATCACATGGGAAGGAGTTGTCCAAATAAGGGGCCTCTTGCATTTTTGACAGCCCTCATATCATGGCCATACTCTGGAATCGCTCCTCAGCTCTGACATAAAAACTTACGCCCCCTGACAATCCTATACGAAGGAATGTCTCTTGGAGGGCTATTTGGGGTTTCCCGGCCATCATTCAGGGAAGTATATGCGGCCAATCCACGCGTGCAGCGAACGCGTCGCGGTTGACCAACCAACCAAAGAGATGCAACAAAACAGGGGATATCCTCACCCTGCGGAATTATCAATCACTCATGGTATAAAAGCGCGTCATGGTGCTTGAGCCAAAGAGCGTGCACGGAAAGGACAAAGACGTCAACGGAAAACTGGCAACCCCAGCGAGGCCCAAAGCGACTGACCCAAGCAAAACTTTCCACGAATGCGGCTCATTCCCCTGAACGTTCACCGATGGAACCCCACAGTAGGGCCCGACCAAAGGAGCTTTCTCTCGTTGCTGCGTGGTCCTTCTGTCGGGGAGTGGATGCCGGCCGCTTATGACGTGCATCTTTTGTTAAGCACCCCCTTTCACCCATATGGATCCGGACACAGGCATACCGGCAAGTCGGCGTATCCCAAAATCCCCCTTTTTCCTTCTCAAATCCCTCTCCAGCCTTCACATACCAAGCTCGTGAGAGTCTAAACAGATCCCACTCCAAGCCAACACCTCAACACCCTACCCCCAACCCGCGTGTATGGTGGACACTTCGTCTATTTTGCAACCATAGGGCCTTAACTTTGCTATGGCGTGGGCCTCCAAACTCGTCTTTCAGCATTCGTACCGATGGACAAAATCCGTCACCAGTTGGGGATTTCGAAGTTTGTCAACAGTACTCGCAGTGGTCTCCCCATTAACATCACCACACTTAAACTCACTTGAAATTGGCCTGCGGTCAATGAGTCTGCTGAGACGCCCCCAGCCAGTCGCAATTGGGCAAGCAACGAAAAAGTCCGGGTGGAGTCACGCCCAATGGAAAAAAAACAAGTGGCCCAAAAGGTGATCATGCTTATTAAGCCAATAAGGCCTTTTTTAGGGCCTTTTGGGGCTCCCTCCCCCCAACCCCTCCCTCCCCCCAGCCCCCATGAGGTGATGTTGAAACCCGCCAGCATCGCGACACCTGCACCCCACCTCCCCCCCTCGCGCCTCTGGCGCCTGCCTGGCGGCCTCCTCCACCGCCTCCAGCAGCTCAGCGTCCACCTCCCGGCGCTCCGGCGGCCTGACATGACTCATGGCCAAATGAGCCACCAAAAAACCAGCAGTATGCAGAAGCCGGATCTCGCGGTTGAACCGGCCCAAAATGTGGAACCGGACTTCGCACTGGCCCTCAAAAAATTGGGTTGGGCGGATTCTGACACTTGATTACACCCACTCTGGGTGGATTTTGTTCGACTTCTAAATGACAGTGGATTCGGGCCAACCAAGGTGCCATTTACATGGGCGGATTCTGACACTTGGTTGGCCCCACTCTGGGTGGATTTTGTTCGACTTCTAAATGACAGTGGATTCGGGCCAACCAAGGTGCCATTTACATGCAGCTATATAAATATAAATATATATATATACATATATATATATATTCGTGTGTGTAGATGGCCGGGGTGCCCCCGTTTTGCCCTATTTGAGCAGACATTTTGCACTGCTTTGCGATTGTTGTCACAACAGATTTGAGCAGACATGTGTAAGCGTGCACTTCGGCAGAAAATATAAGATTGTGTTGGAGGACTTGTAGAAGGACTTTTAAGAGCAATCTTGGATGCATGAATTTTCTAAATACCGTATTTAGATCCTAGATCCAATATTGTTTTGAAAGTTCTTCAGAAGTCTTAGGCGTTTAATCCAGGATCCAAATGTGGCATTTTTAATCTAAATGCCCCAGTGCCGTATCACGATTTCTGGTACTTGGGTGCCCGTGTTTGTCTTTCTTTGCCTAAAATCCTGTGAACAATGACTAAAACAAGCAAACCGTCACCAGACACCACACACCGTGGCGTTTTGGAAAAAAATAGATGGCCCTGGTACATGGAATAAACCCCAGCTAAACCAGTGCCATCGATGTTTAACCAAACTAACCTAAAACGGACACCAAACACCACACACATCAACAACAAAAGCATGCAAGACACAAACAATCAATACAATGAAACAAACACACTGTGTCAGCCCGAGATCTTCGTATCACAAAAGCAGTATTCTGAGGAGTTCCGGGCGGCGGCCGGCAAACTGACACGCAGAATTTGTGCTGCTCCTGAATAGACACTTTAAAGGCAAACCCGTTTGACGACTGTTACTGGGCAGGGGAGGACCTCAAAACACGCGGTGCATTCTAAACAAACACCTGGCACTTTATCCGCTGGCTGCAGGACGCGGGTCATTTGCATTTGAGCTTCGCGGATCAAACCCTTTGAGCCATGCGCTGCGCAGGCAGTCATGCCGTGCTACCTTGCTATGCGACAAGCCGGCAAATCATGCAGGCACTGTTCCTTTGATGGGCGAAGTAACTGCATATACATCAGCTGCAGTTGCTTGGTCAGGTGCTCTGACTCCGTTGTCTGCGGCAAGCGGATATGAAACAGGTTGTACCGGGTTGCGGACTCTCTTCTGAAAGGGAGAACAAAAGGCATAAAGCTTCCAACCAGGGCAAGATGCACTTGGTCCACAATAGCAAAGCTCGCTGCCAAATTCTTTGATTGGAGCCTGTCCTATTTTGCCTGACCATTTGTGTAAACCGCACTCCTTAGAGATGTGTCAAACCATGAGACAGAGTAGACCCAAGATTTTTGAAGTGCAACGGATATCCTCCAAAGATGTTTGAAGTGCCACGGATATCCACCGATCAAATTCAGAAGAGCCTGCAAGCCCAACACCGTCGCCCACCACCAAAACGTTGAGGACTCACGCCACACCACGCGAACTGGCAAAGAAGCTTCTTGAATTTGGCATACTTCAGACAGGTGCTGTTTCTTGTTGCTGCTTTTGTTTTGTCTTCCGACGGAAACCGGTGCGACTTTGTGTTTGTTCTATCAGCAAAGCTTCCTTGGAAGCTCAGTGCGGGAGGAAACCCGTCTGTACCTGCGCAAGCTAGTAGACTACGCAGCCTGCATCAAGAAATTCAGCTAGGAAGCTTGAAATCCAGTGCTTTTCAGCTTCCCCGAACTGCTCAGCCATGTTACGGTAAGCGCGCTAAGCTGTAAGTAAGCGTTCTGCAGGGTTTGAACTCAGCTAGGTGGTTTCAGACGCAACCTACCCCGCATGATGGTCTTGAGCAGGAATTAGCCTACCACCAGTGGCATGGACAACAACAAATAGCACCGGAACCCCTCCCTCGACAAAGGCGCAAAAGGCACCACTGAATGTCTTGGAATTGGAGCTCGGGCACCCCATCCCCAAATTGACAATCGACTCTCGTTGCCCCCAGGCTGGCTCAAATGGCTAGAGAAGCCTTGGCCCTGGTCGAAGCAATCTCCAGGATGGTTTGCAGGGAAATTAGCACCCACAAAAGCCGCTGGGGTGGGCGAACTTCTGGGGGAGATGGATTTCTTAGACCTGATATCAACCTGGCCTATAAGGCAGGTTCAGCATCTCGAAGATTTCCCGCTCGTCTTTGCACAGTATCTTCGCGCCCGCGCGGGTGATCTCGCCCACCTGTGGAAATGGAGATGGGAGATGCACCTATGTCACAATGTATTGTAATTGTGTATGTAGTCAAAAGGACAAATGTTTCCCTTCGCGCGAGCCTCATGTGTGCACCTACGCACGCGCTCGTCAATCCCCTAAGCGACGTTCATGATAAGCAATCTGTTGGGGACTGGGAACCTTACGGCCAACACGATCGCACGTATGGTTCACTCAGGCAGGGAGGCAGGCAAGCAGGACAGTCCTGTTCATCTTGTAGAACGCCAACCAAGACAGCCAGACCAGCTCACAAGAGATTAGCAATCTGAGCAGGCAGGAGAGACGGGGCAGGGTATGCGTGGTGGGGGCTCTGTTGCGAGGTTCCCTTTAACACCAGAGGATCAGTTGACTTAGTATTGGCTTGGTATTGGCTTCGATTTTATTCTTGGTCTTGGGAGGTGGAGGTCCGGAGAAAGAAATTCATAAGCTCATTGGTGCTTGCTTTCAAACCCATTGAAAGGCTAAACCCAGTCTTCCGACACATTGACATCGTGTCCGGCTAGCCCGCGTGCTTTGCATGCTTCGGGTGTATCAAAGCCAGGGCCTCCGAACTAGTTTTGACACGTGAGGCATAGGGCTGACAGCCCTCAAATCAACATTCACCATGGTTCCTGCATAAAGGACTTTGCGCACCCATGTCATGGTGTTCTAGAAATCCGACCCGTGTTTTTTTCATATCAACATCGATGATTGAATGAAATACAAGCCTTCCGGCAATGGAAGGAAGGTCCACATGTAGGACCCAGCAGATTCGGGTCAACTTGCAACGTCGAGCACAAACATTGATCGCACACGTGGGGGCCTTCCCATCGACAAAGAGACTAAGATCAGACAGGTGTTGGGGCGAGCGACTAGCCGTTGGCTTCAGGGGGCTTGCCCTCTTGCAGTGGGGCCGTCCCAGCCGCTTTACCCTTTTCCCCCTGTACTGGCAACAGTTGGGTCGCGTTTTTTCAAACTCTGTCCCACGACTCGCCCGGTCTCTCCGACTCGCAGCCCTCACCGTGCCGGTCCGCGCCTGCCGCCCTTGCGCGGTGCGGTCCGCCTGGCAGGGGATCTCGCCCAAAGCGATCTGAAGGAAACCCCTTTCAATCGCTCAGTGACGTCCGTTTGAAGGACCCAGGAATAAAAAGTTAACCTTTTGGGGTGAGATGGATCGAAAAGGGGAAACCATAAGGTCAAAGGGTCGGCTTTGGCCAAGTGAGAATGGCCATGAAACTGTGCTTGATCTTTCCAAATGTGCAACGCCTCTTCGGCCCTGCTTCTGAAATTTAAGTGGGGGGGTCGCACTCCCCATGACATGGGACTGTATGACTTCGGTAAGAAACCCTGGTTTGCTACTTGATTGCACTTGCTAAAATAAGTGGGGCGAAATCGCCAATACACTGGAAAAAGGATGTGCAGCTTGTGATCCGTGTCTGTTGCTTGGCCTGCTCCGAGTCTGCCTGCTAGGCCACAGCTGCCCAATTGAAGTTGTCCCCTTCCAAGTATCACCAAACAAAAGGTGAAGCCCATACCAAACGGAACTACAACATCTTGGGCCCGCACATTGCTCTTGAGACTGCTTTCCTTCACGCTCTTTTGAGAAACCGACAAAACTCGCAGCTGTACATGGCCGGTCATACAAGACTTGCAGTAAGACATCTCGAAAGCAAGGTGAATGGAATGCACGCGCAAGTTGCATTTTAGGAGAGGAAGTTTGCTGTTTGTGTGAATTGAACACTGGATTCATGAAAAGGATGCATTCTTCGGTGCCAAACTTTGAATATAGATTCCTCTTGAGATGCTTGGTGGCTTCCATTTGAAGCACACAGAAGGTACCGCTCAATCCAAAGCATTTGTCGTAGCTGTCGCCATAGGCGGGAATTGATCGCCGCTCAAACATGTTGATGGCTGGACATGGAGGATCAACCCTTCGAGTCAGACCGATCCAGGGCTGCATCTACAGTCCTGTGCTCTAGATGACCTGTGGCATTCGTTTGAGGCTGTTGCCTCCAGACTCACCTCAAACCCCGTGAATGGTCGACATGCTCTCGGCAGCTGCCCTGGAAACTCTCTTCTCTTGCCCATGTAGTCGCATGCAAAACAATTAAATTCTGTGAGTCTGATCAATGTAAGATTCAATCTGACTGGGACTTCCAAAGCAACAAGTGCCTCAGAGCCCTCCAGTCGTATGCTCAAATAGACAGAGTTCACAAACACAAGCTCACTAACTCACAGACACACAGACACACAGACACACAGACACACAGACACACAAACACACACAAACAAACATGCGCGCTTGGCACCTTTTTGCCTCAAGGCAAATACTGTATCAAAACCAGTGCCTGCCTCCTTGGGAGGAAACCAATTGCCAAGTCTAACCTACGGACGCATCCCAAATCTCCGCCCGGACCTTGCAAATGTAGGTGTTCGAGAGGTGCAGGCCCCGCAGAGCCGCGATGCGCTTCATCTCCCTAGGGAAAAGGGAAACGTGGCCCAGGCTGCGCCCGACAAGTCCAAGTTGGACGGTTCCAACCTCCGTTTGGTGTGCCTGTACAGTAAAGCAAGGCTAGGGTTTGGCTGTTTAAACAAATTTCATCCACGCTGGCTTTCTCCCGCAATCTCTGAAAAGAAGCAAACAAAAGAAGAGGACACATGTGGGGCAGTCTGACATCTTCCCACACTCCGGATGGTCCTTTTTTTGCGCGCCATTCCACACAAGCACCAGGGGCGAGCAAACCCAAAGTTTGACACCTTAGCTGGCGGTTCAACCTCAACTACCCACACAAAGGCATGCATAAAAATGAGGGGACTCCCAAAATGATGGGGGTTCCTTGGTTCCCTGCAAACCAACCCCAAAACACACACACACACACACACATACACACCCCACATCCCTTTTGGCGAGGAGAAACCCGGGGGGTGGGGGAATTTGACAAAATGAGTGGGCCCTGTGTGGGATGGCTTCGAGAAGGAATGAGGAAACCGTTGCCAGTGGAGACCATTCGTTTGGACACAACACCCACTGCATCTCATTTTGGAATCCCCAAACCCAAAAAGACACCGGCTTCTGGAGGAAGCTTATCTGACTGGTGCTTGGAAGAGCATTGTGCTCATTTAGCGCGTTTTCCAGCTGGTGTACAGCGGTACCCCTTTTCCCATGGGGTTCTCACTAAAAATGGACTCCACGCCAAAAAGGGGTTCCCTGATTCTGCCGGATACGGCCACGCTCATTTGCCAGTACATTTGATCCCTTTGCACGCCCCGCCTGTTGAAGAGGCCGCCGTCGCCTTTCCGCAGGAGGTTCCCATGAAGAAGGCTCTTTTTCCACACCCCTTGTCAATTTTCATGATTGGAGCAAAAAACGGTCCAAAAAACGGTCCAAAAACGGCAACCGCTAAAAAGCAGTTCCGGGTACCACCCTTGTTGGTGCGTTCAACCTGATTGGAACAAGAGGACTTAGGCTGTATGTAAACTTAAAGCACTAGCTCAAAGTCCTGTCATTTGGACAATGCTCCCCAAAAGCCAAAATGCGAAAGCTGTTCGCCTTGACTCCACTTGTGCACCAAGCCCCGCAACGTAGCGAGGCCAGTGAGGAACAATTGCAGAGCCTGTATTGTCCAAAAGCCAAAAGCCCAAGCACACCACTTTGGTGTCTACCCTGGTATCATCCGTTGTGAATCTGCGGCTTTTCCATGGCGAAACAACAGCTGCACGTGGCATATGCTCTTCAAACACGGGCCACGGGGCTCCCTTCCCAAGGCGATGCCATCAGCCACTATGCAGCTCGATATTCATTGTGTCCCTAACCGAGATGCGGATTTCACCTCCTATGGATGACAGTAACTCTTAGAATGCAGCGTCAACAACACAGGCAGAAGGGAGCGCACTTGTGGCCCGACATGGTGTTAATTGCTTTTTGCACTTTTTATTCTCATTGGTTGGAAGAACTTGTGTTAAAAGCCAGCTAAAACGCAAACCCCAGTACCAGTACGTCAGCAAACGACTCGAGTCTTTGTAGCCCGCCGCTGAACCAGAGGACCAAACACCACAAACCACATGCCAAGCACAGTAGGCGATCAAAAAGTGGGCAAAGAAAAAGACCTCCCAGCCCCTTTCCTTTCTTCGGTTCCCCATGCCCACGTCTTCCCTGTCGACCCCCCCCCCCGTCCCCGAGCTGCGCACTTCCAGTCCACTGGAGGGTCACAAAGGGCAGCGAGGCGTCGCGGCAGAACACGAAGTCACAGCGCCTCGGCCCGCAGCGCGCAAAGCGCCCGGGACTCTCGCAGAAAAGGACATGGAACGTGGATGGACCAAAACCTGTGGATAGGCTTATCATAGGGGACTTTCAGCCATGTGCTGGAGTTCAAGCCCATCCGCAGATGACTTTCGGAGTTCTATTTCAAAGGTGAATTAGCCTAAACTGAAGCCAATGGAAAGGGCGGGAATATGTATGACAATGTGTGTATGTATCAACCTTACAGACCCACTGCCAACGCCAAAATGCGCAAGGCAACAACAAATACCAGGTTGAACTGGATGACATGCGAAGCCTCGCAGCCGGGTCGAGAGCTTGCAACTGGGAATCTCAATGGTTCACTTGGGTGATACCATTCAGAGGGAGGGATTGGTTGATTGGTTGCTTGGTTGCTTGGTCGCTTGGTCGCTTGGTTGCTCTGGTCGGCGCTGTTGGTTGGCCGGCTGCCTGCTTGTTTGGTTGGCGGGGCGGTGGCATGGCATATATGCATGTTGTTTGTTTGTTCGTTTGTTGATTCATTAATTAATTAATTCATTCATTCATTCATTCATTCATTCATTCATTCATTCATTCATTCACTCATTCATTCATTCATTCATTCATTCATTCATTCAGTCATTCATTCATTCAGTTATTCGTTTGTTCGTTCGCTCGCTCGTTCGTTCGTTCGTTCAGCGAGTCAGTCAGTCAGGAAGTCACGCATACACTCAGGGACCGGGAACACGTATGTGTATATATACATACACACAATATCATTAGTATTATTAGTATTATTCATTGATTATGCGTATTTGTTATTGTTTAATATGTACCATGATTTGGTTATTATTTTATTTATCATTATTTATTATTATTAATATGTTCTTTTTCGGGGACCCTTTGGTGGACATCATTTACAGTAGGTAGGGATTTCTGTCCACCACCACCTTTGAGGGGGTTAGCTCTTAAAACTCACACCCACTTGGATTCAAGGACGCCAGACTCGTTTTGATCTTCCGGATAATGTCCGGATGGCATTGGTCATCCGACATATCAGAGCAAGCATCACTTGCCTAACAAAGCAGGCATACGTCCAAAGAGACCTAAGGGACCTGCCCTTTTGCACGGTCATCTGCCGTCTACTTGAAACCCAGGATTATTCAAGCCCCTGGATAGTTTTGAGTTTCGATGGTGACTTTTGGGGGAACAACCCCCCCAAAACTGTAGATGGACAGACATCTTGCACCAGCTGGCTTCTCCCAGTCATAGGCTTTGATGCATTTCAACTGGTGGAAGCCACAGTACTTGCTGCGGTCGCCATCTACCACTGTGCTTCAGAGCCATAGCAAGGGAGCCGCGGTAGCCCAAAAAAACCCTGACTGGTGGCAATTTAGGCCCAGGCCCTTTTTTCCCCTGCTTCATAGCAAAGCACACCAGTCGTCTAATATTGACTGGTAGGGAGAAAGGGCCCACAACCCCCATAAGCCTCCCATGGCTCACTCCCCTTGCTCTGAACCACTCCCCCCCCACTCCTCCCCCGCCTGTACCGCATCGGCTCCGCCTCCGAGGGGCTGCCACGGACAACGCAAAGGCAGGCCTCACCGGGTGTTTGGTCTCCAGAACGCCTTCGCGGGAAAAACCACACCGGAAAACAGACCAGCGGCCTCTTGTTTGTGGTCCGCCCAGTTCTTGGAACGCGCTTTTCGGGGAGTCCACCGGCTGAAACTGTAGGACCAACGTTTTTGGAAGGCGGACTGAAGCAAGGACCACACAGGGTCGCACTGAACAACTAAGTTGTCAAGAGCCGCGCCGTGCAGGTGACTTCGACTTCAGAGTTCTGATATGGGAAAACAGAATGATATGCTATTAGTTTCCATCATTCTAGTTGTCCCATGTATTGTTATTATTACTATGTATGGCTGGAGGATTGCCAAGCTTCTTCAACCCCAAGAATCTCCAAGGCACTGACGTCTCTGAGCAATTAACTTGATGTTGAAGACCCGAATGAAGTCAATTCTTCAGAAAGTTGTCCACTTCCAGACCTATGCGGGTTAACTTTAAGGGGCCCCTTGGTGGACACCATTTAGGTGGGGATTCCATGTCGACGAACCACTCTTGAGGTGGTTCCCTATTAAAACTCCTGGCCATATGGAGAATATATGCTTATGCTGCAGCAAGACCCATCACCAAGGGGCTGCCTGCCAAAGACCCTCTTCAAAGAGAACCAATTGACATATTGGTCCCTAGTGCTGGACGCACCCATCTCCATCCCCGCAAATCTCCAGCCTCAACTTCAAGAACAGTTTTGGCTTCTTGCTCGAGTTGATTGCCAGACCAGATTACCTTTTGCGCTCTCACAAAATCCCACAGGCTTTGGGTTGTTCAACCCTATAAAAGGTCTGGGACTGCATGTTTAGAGGTTTGATTGTTGCCCATTCGCAATGCGTCTGCCAAAGGCTGCTGATCCGCACTGTCGAAGAAAAAGCATGTGGCCATGGGTCAAAATCCCGTACCCCCAGTGTACATCTCAATCCCCACTAAAATAGACTAAAATGGGTGGTGCACCCACCCCAAATGGTACCATTGGTCTTGACCCACAGCCATGTTCTCACAGGCCGCTCAAGATGCATTGGGACATCGTGGGGGGGGGGTCCGTGAGCCCAACCCCGTGCCCATTCTTCTCTGAAAAGTGGCCTCCGGGTCCAAGCGAAACGTGTTGCCTAAACAGATCTCACCCCGTGCCTGTGCAGAGAGGGCAGGGTCGTCGTCTCCCGGCACCCTGCCGTGGGACGTCACACGTCGGGTTAGCCATAAATCAGCTTGTGTGTGTGTTTTGTTGAGGTTACCCCTGCAGGTTGGTTTAAAGGGACACAAAAAGGAAACCAAACGTTTTGGAGATTCCCGAATTTTGAGACGCCCCCGTCTGCTGTGCAGCCAACCCCCCAATAAATGGTGTAGGCGTCGACCTTGCAAACTTGCACCCGCAGATTCGCGAGCGCAACCCGCCGGCGCCATTTTGTTGAAGAAAGTTTGCTCAACACAAGTCATGTTGGTGCCCGGTGAAGGGCGCTTGTGTGTTTTGGGGATGCGAGACGCTTTTCGCCTTCCAGGGCTGTTGCACTGTTTTGAACCGCAACAAAAACACACCTTGAACACATCAAACATGAGGATCTGCCCTTGCATGGGTTCATTGTGAACTCTATTCCAACAAGCCCCTAAGAAAGCAACCAAACTGTTTGTTTGCCACTAAAACGGTCCAAACCCAAAAAGTAGAAAGCTCACGACCTCAGGAAGTGAGTTTATGTAGGTGGGGTTATTATTTCGACTAATCGGCAGGCGATCGGTGAGCTCAATAACTCGCCTGGATTGCGATCATCGTTGCGGGTTGGGTCGAAAGGCAATATTCAGAACAGCGCATGCTCTTGGCACAGGCACACAACGCGGATGAAAATTCCACATACCCTGCGACACTCACACTTTCCTTCCCAGCCTTTGGCTTCCCCAGGTTGCCAAGCAAGCTGAAAAATCAGCCAATGGCCAAGTTGGAAGGCCCTCGTCGTTACATCGTGCTGGCGGAGACAAACCCCAACTCTGAGCAACGCTTTGGACTCCGAATCCGTCGGAGTCTGTACCTTTTGTTCCCGTTCAGTACGCTCTTCGCTCCCTACATGGACCCGCTGTCACAAAAGCCCTTGATAAAGGCTGCTCTTGCAACTGGCTGCCGTCTCCGCCCAAATCTGGATCACTCCATGTCACAACAGGCCCAGATTCAAGAATGGCACGTTCCTCGGCTGCTTTTGCACCTTGCTGCTGTCTCCGCCGGATTCTGCAACACCCCAGGTCACAACAGTTCCAGATTCAACAGGGGCTCCGACAAACCTTATGGGCCCAGTGAGAATATCACCAACCCAGCTTATCGAGTTGCGTTTGCTCCGTCTCAGTCGACCCATGAGTTTCTCCCAATGTGCGAAAGCCCGTTTGTTTGTGCTGGTTGACGCTCCTCAGCTGCTCTTGCACCTGGCTCCTGTCTCCGCCGTTTTCTGGATCCCAAATTCAAGAATGGCACCAAAAGCCCTGTCAGTTGCTTGGATTTGTTGGACGTTCCTCAGATGCTCTTGCACCTTGCTGCTGTCTCCGCTACTGTCGGATCACCCCAGGTCATAACCTCACACAAATGTTCGGTTTCTGCTATCTGTGGAGAGACAAAATTCTGCAGCTGGTTGGTGGCTTGTCCAAGTATTGATAGGGTTTCATCCATCTGGAGGATTTTGTCCAAAAGGCCGTTGCTTTGTTCCGGTCGGTTGTCTGCAGCGAATCGCTCTCATGTCGATCTTGGGATTCTCAGGAACGGTCCACAAGGTGCCGGTTCAGCCGAGTCGAGATGGTTTAAGACTCTGAAGGATCTCGCTGCTGTGTCCAGGGATTGAACCCTTGCCAATAGATCTGGGATCGGAATGCCATTCGATGACAGTTTGAATGCACCCAAAAGAGCCTTCGTCGCGCGCCATGAAGGTGGATGTTTACTTGCCCAATGGAGATGGTCGCTCTGTCGAAGTCTCAGCGGAGACGCCCATCAGCCAGCTGAGGGCAGCAGCGCAGCAGCATTTCCAGCGCCGCTTGACGCTCATTGCGAAAGGCCGGAAGCTGGATTTGGCCGCCTCGCTGAGCGAGGCCAGGTTGCAAGATGGGGAAGCAGTGGCTGCGGTTGTGCAGCTGGGCCAACTGGCTGCCACCGGAAAGGCGCTTGCTTGGCATTGCCACGGGGGCGTCGATGTTGCAAATTCAGCGTGACCGGATGGGTTGCACAGGGCCCATGGGTGTCCGACGAGAAGCTGCGAGGGCAAGCCGCGGCAGGCGGCCGGGTAAAATACATCACGTCCGGGTTACCTCCAAAACCATTGGCGCAGGTCCCCACCCACCGGCCTCGTTGGAGCGGCGATACTTGCGCCACTCAAGTCCGCCACAACGATGCCCTCCATCGCCTCAAGCCGACCGAAGGACGGGGACGGAACTTCTTTGCAACCCTTGGTTTGGGCTTGCAAACCACTGACTCCGTTTTTTGCAGACTCCTACGAAAAATGAACAGCATTGGCTTGCAAAAAACTGGCTCTTTGTTTGCAGCCCACTAAAAATGAGCAGAACCAAAAAAACAAAAACCAAACAACTTGCCAAGAACAGCGAAGATGTGGCGTGGCGTCTTCAACTTCGGGGAAGCCCCCACATGGCGGCTTTCCAGTTGGTTTCCCTTTCAACCACGCCAAACACGGTATCTTCAAAACAGGACAACTTGTAATATACGTGTGTAATTTTCAGGGCACCTTTTTGGGGTGGCTTTAAAGGGAAAGTGAAGGGAAAACCGCCATATTATTATTATTATTTTTTTTTTTCCGGGGGGTCCCCTATTGTGAGACAAACCCATCAGTCCATGTTTGGGTATTTTTACACATACCCACATCTTAGTCTTACAGCATGATTGTAAGTCATTTGAGCGAGTTGTAAAAAAGGAGACTATACTATCCACTTTCGCGACGTTGCGCTTTGCTCAGGTTTTGAAGTTACAGCCTAAGGTCACCACGCTCAACATGGCTCAAGCCTACCCTCTGACACGTGGAATGGAAACTTTCGGCCACGTTTGATCCTCTTCCATTAGCCACATCTGGCATTCACTTGCAAGCCCGAGCACCTGTTGGCTGCCAAGACGGGCAGGAGGGCCATGCCTCGATGGTCATGTTTCTTGTTGTGTCAGTGTTCTTCATTTCTGTCCATCTGCAGAATGGCATTTTCCTATTTGTGCCAGCTGCTTTGAGCTGTATCTTCCAGAACCGTGATGGTTTTGTTTGGTTTGAGGATTCGAGAGTTTTATCTTGATTAAACCAGTGGGGGCTCAGCTCTGTCTGGTCGCAAAGCCAGTCATCAGTCCAAGAATCGGGACTCCTGTTTCGTGCCTCGATGCGTTGGGACCAAAAAGACCAGAGTGGTTGTCTCTTGCTGAGCAGCTGGGGGCCTACAGAAACACCCTCATCCGCATGCCGATGCTGGCCTGGAGGTAGCTGCCCGCATCCGTCACTACAGGGCCGTCGCCTGGAGTCCCGGAGCAAACTCCGGGGGGGCGGGGGGGGGGGGGGAGGGGGTGACCCCTGTGACAAAAAGACAACAACATGGGATTCCCAAGCTGCTGGGCGTTCCTTGGGTTCTCTGGCGCCTAAGAGCTTCCCAAGGGTTATGGGTTTCGTCTGGGTATTCCCACCCACTTCGAGTCATTGTCCACAACCATTGCATCTGAATGTTCTGACTTGACCGACGGTCAACCGGAGACTAGTCAGTCTGGTGGACAGGTCGGGTTTGGGCACAATCACCATCACCATCACGTTGGTCCTTTGTGCAACACTGGGAGCCAAATTCCAATGGAGACCATTGTGCACGACAAAACTATGGCTGACTTGTCCCTTCAACATACAGTCTTGGGCTAGGCGTAACATGGCCGCTGCTTCAAGCAGGGCCATTCCCATGCAGAACTTTCCGTGGTGAGTACGGCATGCTCAAACTCTCAGGTCTTTCAGCTGCACAGCAGGCTCACGGCTCGCTTCTAAGCGTTCGCTCTCCTTCCCATGGAATCTTCTGCAATATAATTCCCCCGCGAAGAGAGTAACAAATACAATATTATATTGGTGACGATTGGCAAGGAAAGTTTGTTTTTATCTTGGTTTTTATTATTTACCATCTCTTCTCCGATGACCAGAAACCCTATGGTGAGCCCATTCAGTCGGTAGAAACCCTCGAAGGAGATCCCTTGATTTTCTCCAAGGTCAAAGTTACCTTAGCCGTTACATGAAACGCCATCGCTTCAAACGCCAGGTCAAGTCAAGTCCCAGTTTCCGGCCGCTTCAGACAAGGCGCCGGGGAAGCTCACGACTAGGGTAACGCCCGAGCAGAGCACGTCGCCCCGGCCTCGCCGGTTGGGACATGGAAACTCTCGTGTGATTCGATTCGACCCCCCGGTTGGTGTCAAAGCAGACAGGAAACCGTGAGGCCATTTTGGGAAACCTATTTTTTGAGACACACTCATATCTCGTTTCTTCACCCCATCCTCAAACTGATCTGCGGATGCAGTCGCAAAAGTTGACATCTGCAATCGGGCCTTGCACTGCACAGGTGCAACATGTCCCCTGGTGTGCGCCTGCCTTCACGCAAATCTGAAACGAGGAATCCCCAAGACATCGTCATGGGTGAGATCTCGTGATGTGTCCAACGTCATCCAACGTCATCCGCATACATGGGGATCAAACCCAATTCACCATGTGCAACGTAAGTTTTCTGGGGTCCGTTTGTGTTGAGACTGAAACCCAAAAGCTTCTGGTTTCCCCTTGGTTTGCCTCCAAATCCGTCTTAAGCCGTTTGCGAAACAAGGTCCGTCCATGTCCTCAGAAGCTTTACTTGTGGGAAAAAATGGAAACCCCACCACTCAACCAACTAAAAGGCTCAAAAGCCAACCACAGGAGCCAAGATAAGGCCGCCTTTGGATTCGGTCAACGACCTCGTGATCTTAAGGCACCGGGCGGTATGCTCCACAGGGCACCAGCCGGGAGCTCTGGCCGGACGCCTGCGAAACCGCTCGGGTGCTTTAAAGGCTGTCGTTTTCTTAGGGCCAACGGGGGGTTGGGGGGACCTAAAACCAGGGCCAGAGGGTGGGCGGGGGGGGGAGGACAACCTAAAACCACAAGTCATGATAGGGGAAGAAGGTGTGAAACGATTTAGTCCCTTGCATCACATTGGATGTTTGGACCCGAAAAGACTTCTCACCAATGACGGGCATCCAAACCTTACAATTCTTCAATATGAATTAAGGTATCCTCTAAACAACCCTCGTGGGCGATCCTCTAATTTACCCCAGCATTGGTGCGCACACCATGGCTGGCTGCCAAGGGAAACCTCCCTTCCTCTTTGGGAACACGCAACGTTTGTTCTTCCGTTCTCCGCAAGAATCCTGGCATGAGTATCTATGATCACGCTGCAAAAGCACAACTGCAAACTCATGTTGGTTGCTACTCACTTCCAACAAAATCAGAATCAATACCTTTTGTTTTTCAACACCACTCCAAGATGGGCACCCCAAAACAAACCCATCTGGCGAATCACGGTTTAAACAATTCTCCCAACCGAAGAGAAAGGAGCCCCAACAAAGGAACCATTCATGGGGGTCAAAGACGGTACAATTTAGGCTTGGCTGCTCGCTCCTCAGCACGCTGGATGACGGTGGCGCAGATTCGTTCCACCTCTGATCTGGAGATGGGTACCTTGCGCAAGCTTGGGAACCCTCCTTGGTGGATTGGTTTAGTGGATTGCTTTCGTGGCTTGGCTTGGAGGTGAGGGTTTTTGGGTTTAGAGTTTAGGGGGCACCTTCCCGGTTTGGTTCAAGAACCAGGGATTCATATTTAATTCCAACCACCAATCTACTAAGGGTGGGGTGATACTATGAGCTTGAGCACCAGCATGACCGAGCTATGTCCCCTGGGTGATGCTCATGTCTTTGAGACAAATCGGAGAGCTTAGATCTCAAAGTGGGGTAGTGATTCATGAAGGCCACCCCAAACGAATGGGGTCGTTTTTGGGGGTCTCTGTACAAAACCAAACACCAGTTTGGGGTAGCTTCAGTCAGGCTTCAATCAGGCTTGCTTTTAGCCTTCCAGTAAGTCCTTGGTGTTGGTATGGGTATTGGTCTCAGTCGAACTATCCGTTGGTGACCCTCTTTTCGGATCCCCTTTGATTGGCGAGAATGTGACAGGGCTCAGTGCTGGGTTCATGCCAAAGGGCTGCATCCCCTACCCTTTGTCCGTTTCCGGTTCGGGCAAAATGGTGATGTTCTGCAATCCCCGCCGTTTATGAATCTCTATCCAATTCCAACGCCTAAACAGGAAAGTCATAAGGGGAGTTCTCAACACGTTGGCCACCCTGGGTGGGCCCCCAAGTGGAACCAGGGAATAGACACTCTCCATGTCTTTAATCCAAAAGCACTCGATTCCGTGGAGACGTCGCAGGATCCAACAGGGTGACGATCATCTGCCAGTGATCACCTGCTCGAACTTCTCTTGGCTAGCTCCCAGTCCGCAAGGTGAAATTCCCTTGCTTTCAAAAAAACAGGTGTCATGCAAGAAGTGAACAACTGGAGGAAACCAACCACCCAAAAAGAAAACGCGCCACGCCCATAGGCGTCCTTTTAGGGAAATAGATGGCCCTGGATGATTAAACCACCAGGTAAACCAGGGGAACCCATCCATTTTCCAACCAAAACAACCAAAGAGGACACTTATGGCCATGCCTTTCAGAAACCGATTCAGCCCCACTTGCTGCCACCGTGAACCCGCCTGGAAGTCCTCCACGAAGCGCAGGCCCAGACGCTGGACCTGATTCGGATGTCCCAACCCACGCAGTAAACCGCGAAACAAACGTCTGGACGGTCCGTTGTTGCATCCCCCGCTGAAAGGTGTTCAGATCCCCTGCTAAAAGTGCCTTTGACTTTTGGGTTAAATGTAACCCCCCCCCACTAAACCCACAAACCTGGTTGATGGCTGCAATCCGCCAAGAAATCCAAGTAACATCACCATACACTAACCCATTTAGTAGCAGAGGCTAGTGGGCATAGTCGTTTTGGTACCCTTAGCTTCAACATCCAAGTCAAAGTGG